GTTTATTAATTTGAATATTTTATATTTTAATTTAATAGATTAGCATTTGCATGGATATAAATATTTCATCATCAGATTCTGAAAATCAAAATTCAATATTAGATGAATTAGAATTACCATGGCCCAAATATCAAAAATATTTCACTGTTTTAAAATCAATTTCGAGATATCTTTTTATTTTGACGAGGAAGAAGAGGGCAGATTGGAGGATGATAACATAGCTCAATTTTTTGAAACAATGGATAAAAACATTAAATGTTTTTAATAAATTCCCCCTTTTAAAAGAATTGTTTATCAAGTATAACACCGCAATCCCTTCATCTGCCCCTGTTGAGCGAGTTTTTTAGTATAGCTAACGCTGTATTAACTGCCAAGCATTCATGCCTATCAGATGAAAATTTTGAAAAGCAATTATAATTAAAAATTAATAAGAAAATTTTTTTATAAATTTATTTTTTTATCGCTCTATTATAATGTATTTATAATTATATTATCAAAATAAAACTATTATTTTTTATCATGGCTAATATATTGTTTTGAAAAATATAAGGCATTTATTTATATTAAATTAAATTTTAAAAAAAATTTATCATAAAATTTTGAACGCATGAACGCGTTCATGAACTTAAACGCGTTCCTTTTTTTGAATTTGAACGTGAACGTGAACGCGTTCGATTTTTGTCAATGAACGTTGAACGCGTTCGATTTTTTTGTTTACAGCACTATATAATAATAATAAATTTTAACGGAAAATATTTAAAATTATTTATTTATTTGTTTATTTATGCACATTAATTTTTATTTTTTTTAGGAATATGCCAAATTATTTTTTTAAAAAATTATAATTTTATATAAATTTTTATTTTTAAAAAAATAACAGGAACCCGAGAATTTATGATGGAGGTGAGGGGAGGGATGATTTTTTATAGAAATTATTTTTTTTTGGAGATTAAAAATTTATTATAATTAAGATTATCTGAGCTCGGTATTCGGTCATATCTTAATATTTTCAAAAAATAATTTAGGATAATGCTTAACCTTATTGTTAACTTATAAACCAAACATGAAGAATTCTACATGTAGAGCGCCAGCAACGCAGTATTTCGGTTTCAAATTAACCAAAAATGAATTTTCCAAATAATATTACTAACAAATTTGGTAGATCGAATATTTAGTAATTGGTCGGTTTTAAGCTCGGCATTCTGTCAAATCATAATATTTTCAAAAAATTTATTAGGATAATGCTTAACACGTTATTGTTCACGTATAAACCAAAAATGAAGAGATTTTCTATGTATAACGCCAGCAAGACAGTATTTCGGTTTCAAATCGGTTATCGGTCAAATCGATATTTTTAAAATATTTTTTGGGATAATGATTTTCACGTCATTACAGATAAATTAACCAAAAATGAATATTTTCCAAATAATATTACTACCAAATTTGGTAGATCGAATATTTAGTAAGTGGTCGGTTTTGAGCTCGCCATTCGGTCAAATCATAATATTTTCAAAAAATTAATTAGGATAATGCTTAAAACGTTATTGTTCACGTATAAACCAAAAATAAAGAATTTTCCATGTATAACGCCAGCAAGACAGTATTTAGTCATTGGGCCGGTTTCAAATAGGTTTTCTGTCAAATCACGATATTTTTAAAATATTTTATGGGGTAATGATTTGCACGTATTTATAGAAAAATAAACCAAAAATGATTATTTTCCAAATAATATTAACACCAAATTTGGTCAATCGAATATTTAGTAATTGGTCGGTTTTAAGCTCGGCATTCGGTCAAATCATAATATTTTCAAAATATTTTTTAGGATAATGTTTACCACCTAAATATACACGTATAAACCAAAAATGAAGAGATTTTCTATGTATAACGCCAGCAAGACAGTATTTCGGTTTCAAATCGGTTATCGGTCAAAACATGATATTTTTAAAATATTTTTTGGGATAATGATTTTCACGTATTTATAGATAAATTAACCAAAAATAAACATTTTCCAAATAATATTAACACCAAATTTGGTCGATCAAATATTTAGTAAGTGGTCGGTTTTGAGCTCGCCATTCGGTCAAATCATAATATTTTCAAAAAATTAATTAGTGTTGCAGTTGGCTGCAAGCTTGAATTGAAATTGTATATAGAAGTTGATTATATTATTATCGATGTTAACTAACACTCGCGATTAGAATTATTATTATTATTGGAATCTAAATAAGAAAGAAATAAATATATATAAATTATGATAACCCAATATATAATATAATCAAGAATAAAAAACTTTACGACTATATTTTATTCGATCAGGAATCCAAATTATATTTTAAAAAATTAATAATTATTTATGTGTCCAATCTCACTTTTAACGCGATATATATATCATAATTGTTTTACAATTAATTTGAATATATGAAAATTTATAAAATAATATTATGTTAAATTTAAGATCATTTACATAACAAAATTACCCAAAAAATATTATCTTCGTCTACAATTTATTTATGAATAATAACTTCCAAAATTAACATTCTAATTTGCATATACAACACCCCCTTCCTTTAGATCTCCCTTGCCCCCGTAGTGTTCGATGATTCTACCATATTTCGCATCGGTAAATTTGTATTATTATTCGCTGTCAACTCTACACTTGGACAATATCATAACTTGTGTCCTCCCCCGCAAGCCCAATTCCAGTCTCCTCGTTATCCCATAAGGTGCTAACCTTCGATCAAAGCTTGTTCTTCTCGGCATTTCTTGTAACCAATCCCCATATCTTTGTTGAGCCTCATTTCTAGCTGCCTCTATCCATCTATTAGATTCCTCCGATCCGTCTACTTCTCTTATCTCCATCTTTATGATCTTATTCCCTACTCTGACGTATGATGCCATCTAAATAAATTACTTTATAAACATATATATATATTCCTCAACTCTTAATTATCTATATTTCATTATATTTTCTCCACTTACCTTTTATTCATTTATTAAATATGAATCTAGGTCTATTATCCATTTTATTTCCTTCTAATTTATGATTCCTTCAATTACATTCATTTATTCCTTCTTTAAATTATGATTCTCCTACTATGTTTATCATCAATTTAATTTCTTTAGAAAATATGATTCTCATAATAGGTCTAACATCAATTTATTTCTTTATAAATTATGATTCTCATAAATATGTTTCATCAGAATTATGATTCTTATAAATATGTCTTTCATCAATTTATTTCTTCTAATTCTTCGTATATTTCTCAAATCTCTTTAATGTCCTAAGCTTCTACGCCTTATTTGTTTCAGGTGTCTTGTATATGTACCTTCTTGTCCTTCAATTTCTACTTCTACTTTTTTTCTTCCTATATTCTTGCTTACTATACCTTTCCCCCATTTAACTGGACCCTCAAACAGAAGAATCCATACCAAACTTCCAACTTTAATTTTATCATCATATGTATTATCTTTTGGCTTTATTTTTTCTTTCAAAAAATCTAATTCCGTTCTTGTTTTTCTACCTAAAAACATCTCTGCTGGCGAATTCCCCTTGCTATTCTTAGTATTATTGTATGCTAATAATAATAACCACCATTTTCCTTCTCCATATTTTTCTTTTTTTAACCAATTTTTAACTATAGCCACCATTCGTTCTGCTTGTCCATTACTTCTTGGATAATATGGTGGAGATAATACATGTTCAATCTTCCACCTATCACAAAACTTATCAAATGCCTTGCCTCTAAATGCTGGACCACCATCCGATACTAATGTCTTCATTAATCCATATTTACTTACAAAATCTTTTAACTTATTCAACGCTACTTTTGAAGATAGGCCAAATACCTGTTGACAATCTATCCATTTTGAACCAGCATCTACCATAATAAAGTACTTTTTCCTTTCGAATTCTAAAAAATCTACGTGTATTCTATCACATGGCACCTTTGTCTCTGGTCATTTATCTTCCTTATCCCTTGCCGGTGTAATGTTTTAAAAATACTCCATTTTTTTATATACTCCAATATTTAGTGATATTGACGTTTATGACTGACGTGCATATATTAAATATTACATTTTTAGTGATATTGACGTTTATGACTGACATATAAATATTAAATATAATAAATTTAGTCAATTGGCATTTATAACTGACGTATGAATAATAAAAATTACCTATGATATTTAAGGCAATTAAAAATACTCCATTTTTTTATATACTCCTATATTTAGTGATATTGACGTTTATGACTGACGTGCATATATTAAATATTACATTTTTAGTGATATTGACGTTTATGACTGACATATAAATATTAAATATAATAAATTTAGTGAATTGGCATTTATAACTGACGTATGAATAATAAATATTATTTTTTCTATGTCCTATGATATTTAAGGCAATTTTGCCTTATTCTCTTTAGAAATTATTAGATTTTTAATATTAAATGTTAAAAATTTATATATTTATTTAAGGTTTAATTCGAAAATATCAAAGATTAACATATAAATCTTGCACTATCTATTATCACGTTACTGCTCAAAGTTAGAAACAATTTTCAGAATAATTTATTAAAATCCTTTATTTAATTTGTATATAAAAAAATCAATTAATAATATATGCGATATAAATAATATATGCTATATGCAATATAAATAATATATGCTATATGCGATATAAATATTAATTAAAATTAATTATGCGATCAATATGTTCGCTATGATTTATTAAATAAATATTTACATTAAATTTTTTAATATTACTTAATTTTTTAATGGGCATATAGTATGCCCATTTATAAATAGTATGTATTAAAATATTTGTCTGGAGCATAGTTGTCATTGCAACTATCTCCACCTCTGTACCATAAACGGCATTTTGAGCTATGCCCTTCCTCTCCGGCGGGGCACCTATTAAATTAAAAAATTGATTTTATCAAATCTTAAAAATGTTACCAAAAGGTCGAATGTCATTATGCTCTAGCATTTTCTTCTATGCTTTTTCTGGTGTCTTAACTCCATCATCTAAAAAAATATGTATATTAGATTTTTTTTATTATACCTTTTTTGTTTATACAATTATAATCCTCTCCAACTATCGAATTTAGTATATTCATAACTAGATATTTTCAAAAAGGATTTAATATTAAATATATGAAAATATTACCCTTCATATGATTTTCTTCCGCATTAAGCTTTAGATTTTTAATAGCTGGTTCTTGAAAATTTTCATCCTCATCTAAAAAAAAAGGAATATTAAATTTTTAAAAGTATTAACATTTTTTCTGTCCTGATTTAATTGTGTCATCTTGATAAATATATAAATAATTTTTTTTTTAACTATACCTTTTCTTGTAACATCTAAAAAATAATATTGAAAAATAAAAAATAACAAAGAAAATATTTAATGAGAATTTGTGTTGTGATGATTTAATGACACATATTGACGATTAAATAAACCCATTCATGTATAATTATATTGCTAGCAGAAATAATTAAAATAACACATTAGTATTTATGTACATTATGTATAGATATTGATAATTATTAATATTAAGATGGGTATTTGCTGTTTTGATAATTGAGTTGCAGAAATAATTAAAATAACACATTAGTATTTATGTACATTATGTATAGATATTGATAATTAATATTAAGATGGGTATTTGCTGTTTTGATAATTGAGTTTGAAATGTTTAACCATGAGTCATTATTGTTGATTTGATTCAAATTATGTAGAAAATTATTTGCTGGGGTTGGTAAATTAAGATTAGAGATATTTTTTAAGGATTATAGGAGTATATTTGTTTGAGGGTTTGAAGTATGTGTGATATTTATTGTTTCTTTGTTTATAAAAAGTTGATTATTTAAAGTAGCAAAACCAATAAGAGAATTAGTGATTTCATTACATAATTTCATGTTAAGGTCTCCTCCAATGATGATGTGATTTTTATTGATATCTATAAAATATAAAAGATTAAATAGGCCTGTTTTCCATTCAAATAAAGATATGGCATTCCATTATTTCTCGGAGATGGCATTTTAAAGGCAAATATTTTAAATGTATCTTGAAGAAAATATATAAAACAATTTAACATCAGCGCCATTTTCCCGCAGACGATTTTTTCATCTGGTACCAAGCATCATGCACATTTTTTTAACACAAAAATATGATTCTGCCTTTACAAGCCATAAAGCGACAATTTGAGATTGTCCATGACTATCTATTACAAGTAGAATAAACAGTGGCATACCTAGATAGTTTAATTTGTAGGTAGCATCAATGAATATCACCTCAGGATAATATTTAAGATAATGGAGCATGCTAGCATCTTGAAAGTAAATGCCCAACAATTCACTATCATTTTCTAGGATTTCCACCACAGCTCCATTATCTTCCCTGAGTTGATTTATTACATCAAGTAATACATTATCAGATGGCTTGTTTAATTTGGCTGAAATATTATGAATATCTCTCAGAGTCATTATCTGACCTGAATTAAGAACATATTCTTGTATTTTCACCTTATTAGCTTTAAAAGTGATAGCTTGCTCCACAATTTGTTTTTTTTATTGGAGAAAGCCTTCTTTGTTTAGAGAGCATCTCATATAGTTTTTTATCTTGATTATATAAATCATGTTAGTTAAAAATCAAATATAAATATGTCTAACCTAGATCATGGTTTTTATGATCTTTTACAATTGTGACAATATCTAAAGAATACACATTTAGTCTATCACACTGAAGAAAGACTGTGAACATAAAAATACATTCCTTGTGAAAACTAGATGAGGATCTTATACCTCTAGACTTATTTTTTTTTCAGTCCATATTTACATATATAATAAACTCGATTATATTTATATTGAGCTATAAATGCTTTGCTATAAGGTTCCTTTAATAAGTCTGATTTATTAATAACTATGTTAAAAAAAAATTCTTTTTCATATATAGATATGGCATCGTTTAATTCATGTATAGAATTAAATTTAGTATTAAGATATAATGACATAATTAAAATAATAAAACTATAGTGTAAAATATATTAATATGAACCTGTTTTTAAATCTTTAGCTTCTTGAATCAATGATAAATCTTTAGCTTCTTGAATCAATAATAAATCTTTAGCTTCTTGAATCAATGATAAATCTTTAGCCTTCTTTTATTTTCTAAAATAAAATAAAATTTATAATGTAAAATATATTAATATATGAACCTGTTTTTAAATCTTTAGCTTCTTGATTCAATGATTAGCTTCTTGAATCAATAATAAATCTTTAGCTTCTTGAATCAATAATAAATCTTTAGCTTCTTTTATTTTCTAAAATAAAATTTATAATGTAAAATATATTAATATGAACCTGTTTTTAAATCTTTAGCTTCTTGAATCAATGATTAGCTTCTTGAATCAATGATAAATCTTTTCTTTTATTTTCTAAAATAAAATAAAATTTATAATGTAAAATATATTAATATGAACCTGTATTTTTAAATCTTTAGCTTCTTGAATCAATAATAAATCTTTAGCTTCTTGAATCAATGATAAATTTGTAGCTTCTTTTATTTTCTATAATAAAATAAAATTTATAATGTAAAATATATGAATATGAACCTGTATTTATTTTTTAAAATGGAGTTTAAAAAAGGCGCCAACGGGGCAAATATCCTTTACGACCTAAAAAATTTGACTGGAAATTCAAAAAAATCGCCTCAGCATCATCAGCTCCAGAATAATGTTTCTTGATTGACATGAGCACTTTTTCCAAAAAAATATCATTATAAAAATTACATTGATCTAAATATACTCTGATATGTAAATACATTATAAACAAACAATATGATCTGAAAATACTCCACAAATAAGCTTAAAGGAGTATATAAAAAAATGGAGTATTTTTAAAACGTTACACCGGTACATTAGCACACATATTACATGTTTCACAGCTCTTAGCTAATTCTTCTATTTCCTTATTCATTCTAGGCCACCACATGTATTCTCTTGCTTTATTTTTCATTCTCTCTATGCCTTGATGACCTGAATGTATTACACCTAAGGTTTCTTTTCTTAACTTATTCGGTATTACTAATCTATATCCTCTCAATAAACAATTGTCTTCTATATTTAATTCGCTTCTAATATTCTTAAATGCTTGGTCTTCCTTCTTCCATTCTGCATCTCCTTTTAAACAAGTTCCAATTCTTAATAATTCTTCATCTTACCTGGATATCTCTTTTACTAATTCAAAAGTTATCGGTCTTTCTCTTGTATCTATTTTTAAGGTTCTTATAACATTATTATTTAATTTTTCCTCCTCTTCTATATATTCCAAACTATTGCTTACTGTATCCTTGTTTGTACTGTCTTTTTTAAACAATCTCGATAATATATCTGGTAAACAATTTTGTTTACCTGCTCTGAATCTTATCTCAAAATCGAAATTACCCACTAAAATTAACCATCTCTGTAGTCTAGGTGACATCATAAGTTCTTTATTTTCTTTTTTGAATAAATCTACCAACGGCTTATGATCTGTATATAAAATAAACCTTCTTCCAATCAGATATTCTCTGCACTTCTCTAGCCCGAATTTCACAGCTAGCGCCTTCTCTCGATCGTGGAGTAATTTTTCTCAGTGCTACTAAACCGTCTAGATAAAAATAAAATCGGTTTCTCAACATTATCGGTCATCTGTAACAAAACTCCTCTATACCTTCATTAGATGCATCAACCGCTAATATCATATCTAATTCCTCATTGAAACAATTTTAAATCGGCTTCTCTACCATCTTTATTTTTAATTTTTCGAAACTTTTCTCCTGTGCTTCTCCCCATTCAAACCTTTTATTTTTCTTTAATAAATCATACAACGGTACGGCGATTTCTGCAAAATTTTGAACAAACCGATGATAATAATTCGTTGCTCCTAAAAACGCCTGTACTTCTGTTTTATTATTTGGGGCTCTCATACTCATTATCTTATCTATATTCTTTGCAATTGGAGTAATTTCATTTCCATTTATAATATGTCCTAAATATTTTATTTTTCTTGCTCCAAAAACACTCTTCTTCATATTAGCTTTTAAACCATTTTCTAATATAATATTTAACACTTTAATTAACTTAGCATTATGCTCTTCTTCTGTACAACATCGTCTAAATAATACATTATTCCCTTTATTCCCTGAAATAACTCCACCATTGTTCTTTTAAATATTGGAGCCGATACTTTCAAACCAAATGGTAAACGACAAAAAGAAAATAATCCTCTATGCGTTGTGATCGTTAATATCTTACTTGTTCTCTCACTCACCTTTATTTGCAAGTAAGCATTCGAAAAATCTATCTTTGAAAAATTTGTTGCTCCTCTTAAATTAGCCAGTAATTGCTCTATTCTAGGTAATGGATATCTTTCGTTTATTACCCACGGGTTAACTGATACTCTATAGTCTATACACAGTCTTAAACTATTATCCGGTTTTCTTATGGGAACTAACGATGTTGCCCATACACTATGCACTATTGGTTTTATAACTCCTTCTTTTAACCATTTGTTTAATTCTTTATTTATATCTTCTATCCAAGAAAACGGCAATCTTCTTGCGTAGCAATATTTAGATCGATAATTTTGTTCTAATCGTATATCTACTTCAAAATCTTTAAAAGTTCCTATTTCTTCTTTAAAAACCTCCAAGTACTGATCCAAAATCATACTTATTTCATGGCTATATTTATTTTCGATAATCTCTTCCTGTTCTACTGTCTTTTAATTATCTGTTTGTTGATTTCGACGGGTGTTACCTCTAAAGAATTTATATCTCTTGACATCTTATTCTCTTTGACTCTATATTTAATCAAAAATTCTGGAGTTCGATTTCTAAGTTTATCGAGAACTAATTCTTGTTTATCCTCTATAATAGGTAACTTAAATCTATCGAAATCCCTTATTATTTCACTATTATCAATAAATTCTGTTGTTCGATTTCTAAGTTTATCGAGAACTAATTCTTGTTTATCTTCTATACTAGGTAACTTAATTTTCTCGAAATCTATCATTTCACTATTTTCATCATTACTTACAGGGATCGTATCGAAAAATTTCCACCAATTATAAACTGGACCTAACTTTCTTATATCATACCATCCTAAAATTGGTTCAATCTTCAACGTAGTTATCCACAAATTTATACTTTTATTAACTCCTGGTAACCTTACCCTATAATACCCTAAAATTTTCACCATGCTACCATCCAATTGTTTGGCTCTTATCTTTTTTGTAACAAATTCTTTCTCTGGCCAAAATCTCATAAAATCCTTTATACTTATCAAACTAATTTCTGCTCCTGTATCTAATAAAAAACAAATTTCTGCTTCATCCATGTTTATCTTTACTCTAGGGCATTTATTCTTCATTAAAAAATTCTCTAATTCCATTTTTAGTACGTCTACACAAGTTGCCTATTTAATTCTATATATTTCAAAATCTCTACTTTTTATTTTTATTTTTTTCTATTAATATCGCTTGAATTATAATTATCAACGTTAACACACTTTTTAACATCCCAAAATTTATCGTTTTTATTACAGTAATTATTCTTACTTGCACTAGCATTATCAACATTATCCAAATTATCATTATTAAAATTAAAATACTTATTTTTGCTACAATTATTAACATTAACAAAATTATTATAATTATCTAATCTATCATTAAAATTAAAATGCTTAATTTTACCTGAACTAAAATTAGAAAAACAATTATTACCAAATTCATTATTAAAATTAAAATATTTATTCTTATTTTCTACTAAATTATCAACATTAAAAAAATTATTAAATTCATTATCAAAATATTTCTTTCTTAGTCATTTGTTACATTTTTCTTGAGTGTGTCCATCCTGGCCACAAATATTACATCTCACAATTATATTGTTTAATCTACATCTTATAGCTAAATGGCCATTCCTGCCACATCTCGCGCATTTCAAATCTTTTGTTAAATCACAATCACGCGACATATGGCCTGGCTGACCACAGCTATAGCAACTTATCTGTCTGTAATTATCCGTTCGTATGAAGTTGTTTATATTTCTTTTCTTATCTTCCTCTCTTAATATATTCTTAATATTTCCTAACTCTTTAATCTCTATCTTAACGTAAGTCGTATTTCTTCCTATAATTAAACCTAACGTGAAACTTAAAATTAGCAACAAAAATATAATTATACTTATATTTTCAAGTATTAAACTTAATAAATTTATTTGCGTAATATACATTAAAGTGTATTCAATAACCACTTGATTAAAATAATTTTAACTAATCTTAAACAATTAAATAAATAAAAACATAAGAATAAAACCAATACTAAGATCCAAAATTTATATAACATCAATAAGAAAACCGAAATTATCAAAAATTTATATATATATATTTTTATTATTATTATTTTATTTATTTTTTACCTTAATTATCCTGGTATAATTTAGAAAAAATCTTCTTAACGCTTTTGTTCTATGAAATATTATGTAATGGTTAGATTGAAGATCTAAGGTATAGGGTTCAATTTTTCTTTTTGTTTCGGCACCACTTGTTGCTGTTGGCTGCAAGCTCGAATTGAAATTGTATATAGAAGTTGATTATATTATTATCGATGTTAACTAACACTCGCGATTAGAATTATTATTATTATTGGAATCTAAATAAGAAAGAAATAAATATATATAAATTATGATAACCCAATATATAATATAATCAAGAATAAAAAACTTTACGACTATATTTTATTCGATCAGGAATCCAAATTATATTTTAAAAAATTAATAATCATTTATGTGTCCAATCTCACTTTTAACGCGATATATATATCATAATTGTTTTACAATTAATTTGAATATATGAAAATTTATAAAATAATATTATATTAAATTTAAGATCATTTACATAACAAAATTACCCAAAAAAATATTATCTTCGTCTACAATTTATTTATGAATAATAACTTCCAAAATTAACATTCTAATTTGCATATACAACAATTAGGATAATGCTTAACACGTTATTGTTCACTTATAAACCAAAAATAAAGAAATTTCCATGTATAACGCCTGCAAGACAGTATTTAGTCATTGGGCCGGTTTCAAATCGGTTTTGTGTCAAATCACGATATTTTTAAAATATTTTATGGGATAATGATTTGCACGTATTTATAGATAAATAAACCAAAAATGATTATTTTCCAAATAATATTAACACCAAATTTGGTCGATCGAATATTTAGTAATTGGTCGGTTTTAAGCTCGGCATTCGGTCAAATCATAATATTTTCAAAATATTTTTTAGGATAATGTTTACCACCTAAATATACACGTATAAACCAAAAATGAAAAGATTTTCTATGTATAACGCCAGCAAGACAGTATTTCGGTTTCAAATCGGTTATCGGTCAAATCACGATATTTTTAAAATATTTTTTGGGATAATGATTTTCACGTCATTATAGATAAATTAACCAAAAATGAACATTTTCCAAATAATATTACTACCAAATTTGGTAGATCGAATATTTAGTAAGTGGTCGGTTTTGAGCTCGCCATTCGGTCAAATCATAATATTTTCAAAAAATTAATTAGGATAATGCTTAACACGTTATTGTTCACGTATAAACCAAAAATAAAGAATTTTCCATGTATAACGCCAGCAAGACAGTATTTAGTCATTGGGCCGGTTTTAAATCGGTTTTCTGTCAAATCACGA